TTTGTTTGGTGGTGTGCCGTGGCTCCAAAAGGTTGGGAAACACTCGTCTATGAAACATCAACGACAGGAATTAGCTCCCTAAACGTACTGCATGTAATTACATGATTTATAGTTTAGGAACCTTTCCAGCTACTCTGAACAGCTCAAACACTTTTCAACCAATCAGAAGAAACAAAATTAAAATCCCCGAAAGTTGCTGATAACATGACGACAACTGTGTTTGTCAAAAATACACCAAAGAGACTTTTTTTTTGGTCCAGTGCACACAAATAATGTAGTGCAAGTGGTATAATATACATAAATGCAATTGTGCTTTGGTTTTACTATTAATTTAAAATTATTATAAATGCAAAGACACAAAGAAACTGTTCAGTAACAGCAAAAACAGTTCAGCTTAACTAATCCAGCACTCATAAAGCACGGAGGTGGAGTGTGTCCTAATGAGTTCAGATGTTTTTGTGTCCACATACTTGATGTGACTGAGAATCTCCTCGCAGTAGTCGTGGTACTGGTTGAGCCAGGTCATGATCTGAACCGGAGCAACCAGGAAGATCGGGCTAAACGGCTTTCCCAAAGTTGCCTGGAGGTATAGATGTGACACAAACCCAGGAATGTCATTATTTGGGATCCTTACGCAAAACTAGGAGGTAGTATAAATGGTAAATGGCCTGTATTTGTAAAGTGCTTTTACTAGTCCCTAAGGACCCCAAAGCACTTTACACATCCACCCATTCACACAGTATATATCAGAGGTTTCTATTTTTAACCAACCTTTCATGTCTCGAGTTTTCACTTCAATCCAGAAAAAAGAAACAGTATTTCAAATACTCACCAGTGCCCTTTCTCTCTGGTACAGCAGCTTCACCAGCCCCTGAAACAAAAAGATCCAAACGAGAGTAAGTCGAGCAGTCCAACTTTGTTTTTACAAGTTAAAACCTGATGCGTGGCTGCTTACCGTGTGATGGTCAGCATGCAGGTGTGAGATGAAGACCGTGGCGATCTTGGACAAAGCGTCGTCAACGTCGTCCCCGTAGTGTCTGCAGAGCTGACCGAAGGTTCCCTCTCCACAGTCCAGCAGCAACGACTGACTCGGGCTTCATGTGAGTACAAACAAAAGAGGGACGAGTGAAACGAGCCCAGAAAAAGTGAGTGAGCACAGCCTTCTCAGCACACGCGCATCATTATTCATTACAGGACGCCTTTATGGGTTTTACTAATTTACACTAAGAAATCATTTTAATCAGTTTTTAAGCCTCTTAAAATTGACTAGAGACAGTGAAGCACTGTTCAAACACTACTGAGGATACATGGGGAATACATCAGGTGTATACAATGATGAAAACACCTGCCAGGATGCAGCAGCAGAATCCTGCAGCTGAATGAGATAATGTCTAAAACTGATCTTTTTTAAAAATGGGACATTTTAACCTAATTTACAGAGATAAGACTTTGTTATTCTTATTTGGACCAAACACAGTGGTAACTGAAAAATGATGCAATAACAACTTTAAGATTTAGGTTTTAAATATATTTAATTTAGGCCATTATTCAGGTCTATTCCCTTCATGACCACCAGGGGAAGTAAATAACATTGATTATCTGGCAACTTTCAGGAGACGGATGTTCCTTACGGTGGTGTGCTGGAAGAAGAAGATACATATGGAGAAAAGCTACTTTGTAAGCTGTTTTAGAGCATCTTGTAGTTTATATGCTAATCCTTTCATGTTCTCCATCACCTCCACCTTTCCACGCACTCAAAAACCGCTTAATTCCCACTTTGGACATCAAACATCTTTGATCTCTGTGGGAATACCTCCCACCTCTGTGTTTAAATACCACCACACATACTGTAAGATGCAATGACCTTTCCTAAGCTAAACACAAAAGAATCATAAAATACTGAGAGATCATCTGAAGTCAGGTGTAATGTCTTGAGTTTGGATGGTGGAGGAGGTGGATGCACAGATGGCTGTCTATGAATCTAAACGTCAGAATAGCAGTGAGCTTTAATGAAAGGATCAAAGTGATGAGAAAGTGATTGACAGGGTGGGAAAAGTGGAATTGATTAAAAAAAGAAGACCAGAAGTCACCCGAACTCCCCAGGAAAGCAGTGAGAACAAAGAACTGAGGCAACAGCTTCAATTTAAAATTCAGTCCTTTTGTTATCTACGGCAGCATACTATTGCCAATATGAAACAAAAAGAAACTTGTGCAATATCTAGTCTCGGTTTGGGTCATATACTGCATTAGGTGCTTGGAGACACAGTGAATAATATCCTCTGTACTGCAGATAAAAGCTTCAGTCTGTGAAAACAATGAGAGGCTCTCAGACGGCCGGCTGCTCGTTGACAACAGATATTTGATTGTAAGAGTCAGACTCACTTTTCACTGAGAGTCAAAAGTTTGGTTCAGTCATTTTAGCAGTTCCTCTGCAGTGTTGGTCAAGTTACTTGAAAAAAGTAATCCCGT